GTGTGTGTGTGTGAGGTGTGTGAGGTGTGTGTGTGTGTGAGGTGTGTGAGGTGTGTGTGTGTGTGAGGTGTGTGAGGTGTGTGTGGGAGGAGTGTGTATGAGGTGTGTGTGTGAGTGTGAGGAGTGTGTGTGTGTGTGTGAGGAGTGTATGTGTGAGGTGTATTTGTGTGTGTGTGTATGTGTAAGTGTGAGGTGTATGTGTGTGAGGTGTGTGTATGTGTGAGGTGTGTGTGAGTGTGAGGGGTTTGTTTGTGTGTGTGTGTGTGAGGAGTGTGTGTGAGAAGTGTGTGTATGTGAGTGTGAGGTGTGTGTGTGTGAGGTGTATTTGTGTGTGTGTGTGTGTGTGTGAGGTGTGTGTGTGTGTGAGGTGTGTGTGTGAGAAGTGTGTGTATGTGTGTGTGTGTGAGGTGTGTGTGTATGTGAGGTGTGTTTGTGTGTGTGTGAGGAGTGTGTATGAGGAGTGTGTGTGTGAGGTGTGTTTGTGTGTGTGTGTATGTGAGTGTGAGGAGTGTGTGTATGTGAGTGTGTGAGTGTGAGTGTGTTTATTAGGTGTGTGTGTGAGTGTGAGGTGTGTGTGAGTAGTGTGTGTGTGAGTGTGAGGTGTGTGAGTGTGAGGTGTGTGTGAGTGTGAGGTGTGTGTGTGTGAGGAGTGTGTGTGAGAAATGTGTGTATGTGAGTGTGAGGTGTGTGTGTGAGGAGTGTGTGTGTGAGGTGTGTGTGTGTGTGTGAGGAGTGTGTGTGTGAGGTGTGTGTATGTGTGTGAGGTGTGTGTGTGTGTGTGTGAGGTGTGTGTGTGAGGTGTGTGTGTGTGTGAGGTGTATGTGTGAGAAGTGTGTGTGTGTGAGGTGTGTGTGTGAGTGTGAGGAGTGTGTGTATGTGTGAGGAGTGTGTGTGTGAAGTGTGTGTGTGTGTGAGGTGTGTGTGTGAGTGATGTGTGTGTGTGTGTGAGTGTGTGAGAGGTGTGTGTGTGTGTGCATGTGTGTGTGTGTGTGAGATGAGGAGAGCAGGTTCTGCGAGTATGAGACACATGGGGGGTGTGAGGCGCATGGGGGCTTGTGATCTTGAGGAGAGCAGTTTGTGTGAGTGTGAGGCGTGTTCCAGGTGTGTAAGTGTTGTGCTGGGTGAGAGGTGTGATGACTGTGCAGCGTGTGTGTGTGTGTGTGTGTGTGTGTGTGTGTGTGGTACTAGGTGTCAAGAAATGAAATGGCACTCTGTATTGGACATACGTGCTGCTGGAGACCTCTCTAAGGTGCTACAAAGCAAAGATGTCACTTTGATGTCACCTGATCCAAGCCATGGTATTTTCACCTGTCATAGTCATGCAAAACCTGGACAATGCATAAGAAAGACTACAGAAGTGATGTCTTTGAAGTATGGTGTTGCTGTAGGGTATTGAATATACCATAGACTTCCAGAAGAATGGTGAACTCTCTCTTGGAAGAAGTGCAGCCACAATGTTCTGTAGAAATGAATGAGGACATGTTTTCAGGAGGGACCACCCCTGGACAATGACATCATGGTTGGTAAAGTAGAGGAAGGTCCTCAAGGAGATAGACTGGCACAGTGACAACAACAATGGGCTCAAACGTAGCGATGTTTGTGAGGCTGGTGAAGAACCGGGCACTGTTTCATTCTGGACAGGGCTTGGTATGGGTCATAGCTGACTCAGTGGAACCTACCCCCAATAGAAGATGAGCTCACTAACACACAAGGGAAGCACAGATTATGAGTCAGCCGTTTACTTAGAGTATAAATAAGAGAATTCACACTTCCTGAATAACAGAACTATCTGAAAGAAACTAGAAAGCAAACCTATTTTAAATGATACAAGATTAAAGAAACAGTGTGATGAAAGTGTAGGATGGAAAAAAAGAAAAACACAGACCTTTGGAAAATGGAAAATAGACTCTGTCCATCAGAGACGGATCAAAGATAGAATCCACAAGGTAATTTGAACAGAATCAATGTAATGTGAGCAATTAGGAAGGGGCACAGGCGGTATGGTGGCTGCACGGGTCACTGAGAGGCTGGCCATTGGAACCCAGCAGTCACTTCCTGGGAGATGGATGTGTCAGTCTTGTTCCTTGGAAACCCTGTCCTACAGGTTTCCTATACATGGCAATCGACTGCATGACAAGTGAGTTGGGGTTTTCTCTTCTGGTTTTGGAACATGGTGTTGGAAGGTCTCTGGTGGGTGCAATTGGTTTCCATTTGACTGCTTACGTTCGGCCTAGCAGTTTCAGCCTGCCAAGTGGAGCCATCCACTTCTGTAAAGACTGCAGCCAAGCCATCCTCACCGAGTCCTGCCCTGTGACCGGAGCTCCGTGAGCTGGAAGACACTCAACAGCAACCGGGGCAGGTGGTTTTTGTTGTTGTCGTTGTGTGTTTAAGTCCCTCAGTGGTGAAATGATTAACATGCCTGGATGCTAATTGGAAAACTGGAGGTCTGAGTCTGCTCAGAGGTACCTCTGAAGAAAGACCTGGTGATCTACTTCTGAAAAATCAGCCACTGAAATCCCTACGGAGCACAGTGCTACTCCAGCACACGGGGGGTCAGCTGGATAACTGGGAACCTGGAATTAGCAATGAAGGGATAAAGAGCACTTTGAAGAATACGGCCAGAGCAAGTCCCACCCACTCCCTCCTTCAGAGCCCAGAGCACCCACTGCTGGCCATGCGCAAGTGTTTGCAAGATCCAGGGTCCAAGCAGAACGGTGGAAGTGGCTTGGAGCCAATGGGCACACACAGTCATTACGAATAAAGTCCCTGGGTATGCCGAACACTGAGGGGCATGTGCGAGGTGAAAGGTAGTGGATGCAGAGATCTGAGAACTGGGTATGGGACACAGACTTACAAACTCTCTTCTCAGAAATGTTAGAACTCCTCACAGCCCATTGAGACAGATGCAGTGCTCGATGGAATTTCCTCCAAGGGCATCATTTAGAAGTTTCCTAACCTGGAGCTGCTTGTGGCTTTACCAGTGACTCTGATGAAGAAGTCATCTTTGCCTTAGAGTTTAACCCCTGACTATGGAGTCCTGGTGTGGCACTGTGGGCTAATGCATCAGACTGCCAAGTTGTTTGAACACCAGGGTCCATGGTTCAAGCTCACCAGCTGCTCCTTGGAAACCCTATACAGGGTTGCTATGAGTCAGAATTGATTTGACAGTACTTAACAACATGTAAGCCTGTGGCCAAAGTGACTGTCCATCCTGCAAAGGCCAAGTGACCACCTGCCCTCATTCCAGTGATGTTCCGATCTTGTCACCAGTCCTTTGGCCATCATC